GCCCTTGTCCTCTAGACTTTTCTGCTCTTTTCCTTAGCCTTGTCCCCCGCCATCAAGCTTTTGCTTGCCCTCTGTGGTCCCCCACTTTCTGTCTTGCTGACTCCGTATCTCTCTTCCTCCTACTCTGTCCCCTCCTTCCTGTTCAGGGCCCTCTTGCCTGGGTTCCAGTGGCCTTTCCCTGCAGCTCCTCTTTATTCAGAGAATAAAAAAGGTCATAGAAAGAAGCATCCCCATCTGGTCTGATGCCCTCATTTGTCAGAGGAGGAAACTGAGGCACAGAAAGGGGAAGTGACCCACCTAAGGCCAGTATGGCAGACAAGACTAGCGCCCAGGCCTCCCGCCTGCCTAGCACACACCTGCCTCTCTCCTTCTCCCTTGGGCTCCGCCTGCCCATCCGCTGCCCAGTGCCCAGATGGGTCCCTTCCCCAGTCCCCCTCACCCACACTCACCCCCCCGGCTCCCGCTGCTTTCCCTTCCCTGCCCACCCTCCGTGCGCGGCCAGCGGGCAGGCCCTGAGTGACCCCGCTCTCCCTTCCCACAGTGCCCGAGGCTCCAGTCATCGACACCCAGCGCACCTTCGCCTACGACCAGATCTTCCTGTGCTGGAGGCTGCCTCCCCACTCGCCGCCTGCCTGGCACTACACCATCGAGTTCCGGCGCACAGATGTGCCCGCCCAGCCGGGCCCCACCCGTTGGCAGCGGCGGGAGGAGGTGAGGGGCACCAGTGCCTTGCTGGAGAACCCCGACACAGGCTCTGTGTACGTGCTGCGTGTCCGTGGCTGCAACAAGGCGGGCTATGGCGAGTACAGTGAGGATGTGCACCTGCACACCCCCCCGGCGCCCGGTGAGTGGGCAGATGGTGGGCAGAGGGTGGCACAGAATGGGGCAGGGCGCTCTGGGACCCAGGCACTAACAGCTGGGGCTGGCTGAGCACGGGAGAGACTACGATGCAGTGGATCACACTAACTCCGGAGCTAGACCTCCTTGGGTCAAATCCCAGCACCACTTCTTGCCAGTTGTGTGGCTTTGGGCAAGTTATTCACCCTCTCTGAACTTCAGGTTCCTCTCCTGGAGAGGTATCTACAATACTTACCTCACAGGGTTGTTGTTGGAGTTCATTGAATTGACGATACATGTAAAGCCTTAGCCAAGTTTGCACCTCAAATAAGGGCTCAATAAATGAGAGTAAAGGGGCTCCCCAGAAAGTAGTGCGGACCCTAGGATGCAGGCGTAACAAAGGAGCATCACCCCACAGAGGGCGCAGAGAGGTGTGGGTTGGGCGTAAGGACCAGATGTGACCGCCAGAGCGTGGGCAGACAGTGTAGGCTGGCTGTGGTGGGCGGGAGTCACCACAGGGAAGGGAGCAGTGGACTGTGCAAGGGGCCAGCCACGGGCGGGGTGGAGGAAGCACTGTGAGTGTGAGTCACCTGGGCCTGGACGGCTGGTTTCTGTGGCCATCGGTCATCACTAAACTCTTCCTGGGGCCCATGTCCATCTGGAACACTCCCTCCTTTTTTCCTTACCCACCTCGCCCCTGTTCCCCAGGCCCCGTTCCCGAGGCCTCTGGCCTGTCCCCTGGCAGCTTGTGCCTGTTCTGAAGTCTCCCAGTGTCCCATGCTAAAGCCTTGCACGCAGTGCCGGGTGCTGATGTTTGGCTCTAAAGTCCTTCCTTTTGTCTCACCCCTCCCCCACTCCAGTCCTTCACTTCTTCCTGGATGGCCGCTGGGGCAGCAGCCGAGAGAGGCTGGCCATCAGCAAGGACCAGCGAGCCGTGCGGAGCGTTCCAGGGCTGCCCCTGCTCTTGGCTGCTGAGCGGCTGCTCACTGGCTGCCACCTGAGTGTGGATGTGGTCCTGGGCGACGTAGCCGTGACGCAGGGCCGCAGCTACTGGGCCTGCGCTGTGGACCCAGCCTCCTACTTGGTCAAGGTGGGCGTCGGACTGGAGAGCAAGCTTCAGGAAAGCTTCCAGGGCACCTCAGATGTGATCAGCCCCAGGTCAGGCTACTCTGGCAGGGATGGGGAGTGGGGGCCCTGGGCGTGGGGGGCTGGGGACAGGGTGGGGTGTCAGGGGGAGCGTAGACTTACTGGGGTGGAGCTGGGAGGAGGCTGGGAGGAAGCAGGAGGATAATGGAAGCCAGGCCAGGGAACCTGCGGGATCAGTGGAAGGCTTTGAGGGTTGGATTTTGGAGAGTGTGATTGGGGAAAAAGATGGCAGAAGAGGGAACCACCTCCACTTCCTTCCGTCTGCCGCTCAGGTCTGATATGCCATCTCTCCAAGCCGCGTGTCTTTCCCCTAACACCGCATTTCCAACTCCCTTTCCCCACAAACGCTTCTCTCCCACACCTTTCCAACCTTATCTTTTCTTAACCCCCTGAAATCCTTTCCTTAAACTTTCCATCTCCAAACCCTCTCATCCCTGACGTCTACTTAACACCCCCCCCCACGTTGGGGGGAAAGTTTCTTTCCCCCCAACACTTCATCCCAGCACTCCACCCCCCAGGACCCCACTTCTTCCCAATGGTTTCTGTCCCCCATCTCCCTGACATGTCTCATCGGTGACAGCGATACACCCTCATCTGTCTCCCCCCATTTCCCTTCCCAGCACCCTGTCTCTACCCTTCCTGTCACCCTGAACCTCAGTCACTAAACCGCATTCTTCCAGCAGTCTCTGCCCCACGGAGCCCTCTCCCCGCGTGGGAGCCCAAACCACACTTCCCGCCACCCTCCCACCTCGATAAGGCTGCTTTTCTTCAGTGTGCCTCATCAGTACCTCGCCTTTCTTTGCCCCAACACCTCTCTTGCCAGTGTGATGTCCCTTCAGTACCCTTTTCCTGCCAAACCAAACCCCCAACCCTATGGTCTAACTCCTGTCTCTTCGACATGTTTTTCCTCAACACTCCAAATCCGTATTGCAACTGACATTCCACACCTCCGATGTCTCAGCGCTCTGGCGCGCCGCCTCCCACCCCCTTGTTCCACCCTCCAACACCTCCTACCCAATGCGCGCTCCTGCAGGTACGACCCGGACAGTGGACACGACAGCGGGGCCGAGGACGCCACGGTGGAGGCGTCGCCACCCTTTGCTTTCCTCACCATTGGCATGGGCAAGATCCTCCTGGGGTCCGGGGCCAGCTCAAATGCAGGCCTGACCGGCAGGGATGGCCCGGCCGCCGGCTGCACAGTGCCCCTGCCGCCCCGCCTGGGCATCTGCCTGGACTACGAGCAGGGCCGGGTCTCCTTCCTGGATGCTGTGTCCTTCCGCGGGCTTCTGGAGTGCCCCCTGGACTGCTCGGGGCCCGTGTGCCCTGCCTTCTGCTTCATCGGCGGTGGTGCTGTGCAGCTGCAGGAGCCGGTGGGCACTAAGCCCGAAAGGAAAGTCACCATCGGGGGCTTCGCCAAGCTGGACTGACCGTCGCACGCCCTGCCTGGGCCCTGGCCCTGCAAGCTTCCTGGAGCCGGGTTATTCCTCCGGCAGCTTTTCCCTCAAACTCTTCCTACCGTGTGGTCCTGTCCTTCACCTCATGTCTCTGTCTTCCCAGGACCTTCTCTTGACCCAGGGACACTCCTCTGCTCACCTCTCTGGGTATCCCCCTTTTTCCCCATCTCCTGTTAGCCCAGACCGCCAACCCACCAAGTTTCTGCTCCATGCTCTGCCCTTGGTATCTCACCCAAGTCATGGAGGGAACCCCTTCTCCGGCCACTGCCTTGTGCTCCTCCTCAGGCCAGTTGGGAGAGAAGCTCCTGGAACCCTGGGCATGATCTCCAGCTGTGCCCTGCCGAGCGCCCTGCCGCACTGATGCGGACCTGCAGCCGCAGAGCCGGAGGCTCTCTGGTGGGACACCGCCCGTGCAGTCCCTGGGGAGGGGAAGGGCCCTACCCTTTGTCCATGTGGGTCCCCATGCCCTTCCGCCGCATGCCTCTGACGTTCCCCTTCCCCCTCCTGCATGCTGTACTTGCCCCGCACCCGTGCCAACCTGCCGAGTCTCCTCCTGGGGCCCTGGCGGAGACTGGATGTCCACACTGGGTTGGGCCAAGCAGGACCTCTGGTGCCCACTGCTGCCCCCTTGCAGTAAGGACTGCTAGGTCTGTGCCAAGCAACAGCTGTCGTTTTCACGGTTTATAAACAATAAACTGTGGTGCCAGGCCTGTCTCTGCCTTCCCTGAGCCAGACCATTCCTCTCACTTTCCGTGCCGGGTGTGGGCGCCCCGAGGGACCCCGGGTCTCAGCCTCTGCTCCGGGCAGGGCTACCTGGTGGGTATGGCACCTGAGGCACGGAGGTCCCCGAACCAGGTGCTCCCCAGCCTCCCACCAACCCAGCCCTGGCCAACAGGGGGCGCACAGTCACACCCCCCGCCCCCCCCCACACACACACACCAGGAGGCATCTGGGCGTGGCTCCCAGACCGGGAGGCAATGTGGGGAGGGGAAGGCACTGTGCCTGGGCCCAGAGGAGCAGGGAACCAGAACCACTTTCCCGTTCCCTGGGCGCAGGGAGCAGACCCCAGAGCCAGTGCGCAAATGGGGCAGCCCACGGCCAGGGAGGGGCGGGGCTGGCCACCAGCCCCGGATCTAACACTTATCGTGGCTGGCTGTGTTGACTCTGAGGCTGTTATCGCAGCCTAAGGACTCTCTTCACAGCTCAGAATAGAACCACCTGAGGGCATGGTGCCAAGGGGAGGGAGGTGTGGCTGTCAGCCCCCAGCTGGGGTGAAACCAGGGCCGAGCCACAGGCATGCAGGCCAGGCCGGAGCCCAGCCACCTAGGTTTCGTTTCCTCTTTCCTCTTGTGCCGCTGGCGATGGGGGAGAGGTGACTCAAAATCTTCCAGCCACCCCGGCGCCCCAATGTCATCTTTCCACGCGCCCCTGTCCCTGAAATGAACCCTGGTCCTCACCCTCTTTCCTCCCTGTCTTCTCCCCCAAAGGCCCCTTCCAGAACCCCACACACACATACATTCTGATCACCCCTCCTATCTAAGGTCACAGATGACACGTCGGAAGTTGGCAGTAAGAGCAGAGCGGGCCCACAGTTTATTCAGCCTTGTGTGCGTCCCCACCCCCATCTGGGGGCATGTTCCCCGGAGCCCTGCCAGGCTCCACTAGGGCTGGGTGGGTTAGGGAACTTGGTGGGGCCTGCGAAGGAGGCCATGAGTACCCACTCGAACTCCCAGCTAAATGGTCCAGAGGTCCAGAGCGGGGAGGGGGCGCTGGCAGTGAAGACCATGCGGGAGGCCACTGGCTGGATGCTGAGGCAACTTGCCCCTACAAGTTGGCAGAAGTGGCTGCTGGGTTCATGTAAGAGAGGCTGCTGCCACCGTTGCCTGCAGACACCTAGGTGAGGGGAGGAGGAAGCCAGGCTGAGGGGCAGAAGCTTCCCTGGGAGGAACTACCAGGGCCCCTGGATGGCGGGCACCAAAGCATGGCCCTCGAAGGGTTAATTTGGAGAGCACCTGCCGGTCAGCACCACTGGCAGCCAGGTGACTGTAAACAGGGCCCGCCCTCCTCCTCCCCTCCACTCCCTCCCCTCCACTCCTGTCAGCCCCCTCCTCTCCCCTCCTGCCCTGTCTCCCTCCATTCCTTGCCCTTCTAGCCCTAGAAGGTGTGCATGCTTATCCGTGTAAAGCTGGAGAAGGAAGTCCCAGAAAAGGGAAAATGGGGTCAAGAAAAGGAAAGTCTCCCTCCCCCACCTGGAGTTCCAGCTCCCCGTGACCAAAGTAATTATTTACTAGGACCTGCAGAGAAAGGCTGGGAGAGGAAAGAGACTCCTGAGAACCCCACCCAGGCTCACCTGGTTTGGTGAGACTTCTTCCCCTGGACGGGAGATCCTTCCCCCGCCCCAGCCTTTCTCAGTCTACCCTCCGTTCTTAGGACGACATTGGGAGCACAGGCGCTCACTCCTTGTGAGTCCTGCATGAAGGGCTCCCCCGGGCACGTCGCCCACCCATTTACCCTCTAGGCAACCCGGCCACGGCAGTGGCGCCAGTTCAGCCAAACAGTGAATGCTGTTCTGGAAAAGTTAGTAGTGGGGACACTCCCTTCTGAGGTCACCTTTCTTCCGTGGTCTCCTCCCCAGCCCTTTCCCCAAGAGCTCTTCTGACCTCTACCCCAGTTCTTGCCAGGCCCTCACTGGTTTCTTCACATCTCCTCTCAACCCTTTCAAGTTCTTTGGGCTTTCCAAGTACCCCTTCAGAACCCCTTCCCAGCCAAAGCCTCTGTCTCTCTCTACCTGTGGGACCCATCCTCACCTCCTCATGAGGACTACGCTTGGTACTGCCAGGAGCCACATAGCGCCCATGGGTGTGGTAGGTAGGGTACTCGCTCATAGGGTGGTAGGCATCTCGGGTTGGAAAGATGTCCAGCTGCCCACAGTTCTTTCGGCGGCACTGACATACAGCCTGGGGAGATAGGAGGTTATGGGGGGCCATGGAGTCCCTCCTAGCAGCGGGGCTCCGGTTTGGGCTGAAGACTGAGCACTTACCAGGGCCATGAGATAGACGATGGCCAGCGCGACCAGGATGCACACAAGCACCAGCAGGGCTATGCCCCAGCCGGGCACCCCCGGCCCAGACCGGGCAGAGGGAGGAAACGACACATCACCAGCTGAAAGGAAAAGCAGTGATCAGGGCAGTCTCCCAAAGGAGGTGGCCCTCTGGCACCTGGCGGGGGGCGGGGGAGGGGAGCAGGAATCCAGACGCTGCAGAGAGAGGGGCCCTGGAAGTGTGGTGCTGACCCAAAGCAAGCAAGAAAAGCCTCACCACTAATTCCTGAGATGTCCAGGTTGTACTGAGCTGCTTTTTGTATTTGAAGAACAAACTGTGCCTTTACGTCATTGCCACTGGTGGTGCCCTCTCGGAAGGCCAGAATGGAGTCCACCACCACAGATCCTGGCCTGCTCCCAGGGAAATGGGCCATTCAGCTGCAGACCCAGCTCTGGGCACTTGCCCCCAACCTCAAGTGTGCCAGCCCCTCCCCACAGCCACGACCGCATCCACCCACTCAGAGTCCACGCCCAGGACTGTACCTGAAATTCACATCAGAGGAGCCCAGAAAATTGTCAGGTGCATAGACCTGCAAAAACTGGGTGGGAGGGAAAGCACTGAGGATCGGCACAGGTTTGAGCAGTTCCGAAGGCCGCTGCGAGGGGGTGCGTGGCAGAAGGGCAGCTACTCACCAATTCAGTAATGTTTCTCTGCAGCTTCTGGTAGTAGTTAGTTCCGGGGTCCTCCAGGGAAGAGTTAAATGGGAGATTCAAAATACGGAAGGACAAGAAGAAAAAGGAAATCCTACGGCTGGGGAAGGTGAGGGGCACTGTGCCACCGTTAGTGCTGCTGACAGCGGTCCTGGTTCTGGGGCTGGCAGGGGTGGTACGAGTGTCAGAGGGGTGGCTGGGAACTGAGGATGGCGTGTCCTTGCCAGATGGTGTGGTGGTCGCCTTGGCAGAGGTGCCCTCGTGTAATGGAGTGGCAGCTGAGCTTGAGGAAGGACTTGTGACCGAGGAAGGGGTGGCACCATGGAGTGGAGTGGTGGCTGAGCTTGAGGCAGAGCTGGTGGCTGGGGATGAAGAGGAACCGTGGAGTGGAGTGGTGACCAAGCTTGAAGCGGAGCTAGTGGCCGGGGAAGGGGTGGCACCAGAGTCTGGAGCAGTGGCCGAGCTTGAGGCAGGGCCGGTGGCTGAAGAAGTGGTGGCACCGTGGACTGGACCAGTGGCTGAGCTTGAAGCAGAGCTGGTGGCCGGGGAAGGGGTAGCACTGGAGTCTGGATGGGTGGCCAAGCTAGAGGTAGGGCCGGTGGCCGAAAAAGGGGTGGTACCATGGACTGGAGCAGTGGCTGAGCTTGAGGCAGAACTTGTGACCAGGGATGAGGAGGAACCATGGACTGGAGCAGTGGCCGAGCTTGAGGCAGGGCTGGTGGCCGGGGAAGGGGTGGCACCTTGGTCTGGAGCAGTGGCCGAGCTTGAGGCAGGGCTGGTGGACGGGGAAGGGGTGGTACCGTGGACTGGGGTCGTGGCCGAGCTTGAGGCAGAGCTGGTGGCCAGGGCAGGGGTGGCACTGGATTCTGGATGGGTGGTCCAGCTTGATGCAGAGCTGGTGGCCGGGGCAGGGGTGGCACCTTGGTCTGGAGCGGTGGCCGAGCTTGAGGCAGAACTTGTGACCAGGGACGAGGAGGAACCATGGACTGGAGCGGTGGCAGAGTTTGAAGCAGGGCTGGTGGCCAGGGAAGGGGTGGCACCTTTGTCTGGAGCGGTGGTCGAGCTTGAGGCAGGGCTGGTGGCCGGGGCAGGGGTGGCACCTTGGTCTGGATGGGTGGCCGAGCTTGAGGCAGGGCTGGTGGCTGGGGAAGGGGTGGCACCTTGGTCTGGAGCGGTGGTCGAGCTTGAGGCAGGGCTGGTGGCTGGGGAAGGGGTGGCACCTTGGTCTGGAGCGGTGGTCGAGCTTGAGGCAGGGCTGGTGGCCGGGGCAGGGGTGGCACCTTGGTCTGGAGCGGTGGTCCAGCTTGATGCAGAGCTGGTGGCCAGGGCAGGGGTGGTACCGTGGGCTGGGGTCATGGCCGAGCTTGAGGCAGAGCTGGTGGCCGGGGCAGGGGTGGCACCTTGGTCTGGATGGGTGGCCGAGCTTGAGGCAGGGCTGGTGGCCGGGGCAGGGGTGGCACCTTGGTCTGGATGGGTGGCCGAGCTTGAGGCAGGGCTGGTGGCCGGGGCAGGGGTGGCACCTTGGTCTGGATGGGTGGCCGAGCTTGAGGCAGGGCTGGTGGCCGGGGCAGGGGTGGCACCTTGGTCTGGATGGGTGGCCGAGCTTGAGGCAGGGCTGGTGGCCGAAAAAGGGGTGGTACCATGGACTGGAGCAGTGGCTGAGCTTGAGGCAGAACTTGTGACCAGGGACGAGGAGGAACCATGGACTGGAGCAGTGGCCGAGCTTGAGGCAGGGCTGGTGGCCGGGGAAGGGGTGGCACCTTGGTCTGGAGTGGTGGTCGAGCTTGAGGCAGGGCTGGTGGCCAAGGAAGAGGTGGAACTGTGGACTGTAAGGAGTTGAGGGTTGAGTGTGGGGATAAATTAGAACAAGGAGAAAATACATCCTCTAGCATTTGGAGAAGTAATGCCAGGAGGACTTGGGGAACAAACCCCTGAGTCAGCCCTTCTCCTCCTTCCCAGCTGGCAGCCTCCCTCTCTTCCCACAGCCCTCAGCTCCGGACTGGCCATTGTCCATTCTTAAGGTTTACCTCTTCTGTCCCCTCACCCCCACCCCAGACTTCTCTTCAGGAAACGTGTGTGCCCCAGCACCCACACTCCTGAAGCAGGGGGTCATCTCTTCTTCACCTATCCTTAGCCTTTCTCCTTTACTCTGGCACAGACTAGGCCACCCGTCTGCAACTGCTGCCTCACAGGGTGCCATCTGTCAGGAAACAAAACGTACAGAAAGGCTGTGCAGAGCAGCCCCCACCCCAGCTCGTGCCCCTCACCTTCAAGCACCGGGAATAGCAGCAGCACAAGGAAGAAAGGGGCCTGGACGCCCGGAGTCATGGTGGTGCTGGGCCGGGTGGGGAGGGGGCAGGACAGACTCGGGCCGGCACTGCGTGTGAGGTGGAACAGGCACAGGCACCTGCTGCTTTATACTGGTCCTTCGCCCGCCCTAGGCTCAGCCAGAGCAGGTGACAGGTGACAAAACCCCGCCCCTTCCCCCACTCCCTACCTCCTATCTTTTCCTCCTCCTCCCCAACCATTCCTGTCCCCTCGGGTAGGGCACATGGGCTCGAATCACTCAACCCTCTGACAACCTGTTTGTTCTCCAGTTGGCCTCCCCCTTTCACCAACCACTCCTTGGCTCCAGAAGGCGGTGTGTATAGGGAGAAGTGGGGAATCTGGGACCTGGGTCCCCAAAGCTTTAGTTTTAGCCCCAGGGCTATGGCCAAGGTGAGGAAAGGAATAGAGTAAGTGGGTAAGTTAGGGCTGGGAAGTTCATATTGGTCCCCTATTACACTGCGCCCAGGGCCCCTTGAAGCCCCACTCTGGGAGCTGAGAAGAAATGAGAAGGCTTGTTCTGACTGGCATGGTCCGGTGAGATGGGCATTGTCCCACAAAGGTCTCGAGTCTCGGGTTGGTCTCGAGGTCTCGGGTTGGATTCCTGATCAGGGCACGCACCAGGTTCCCAGATAGGGACGTGTGAGAAACAACCCATCTATGTTTCTCTCCCACATTGAAGTTTCTCTCCCTCTTTCCCCCTCCCTTCTCCTCTCTCTAAAAATAAATAAATAAATATTTAAAAAGAAAAATAAATGGGAAGGCTTGATAAGGAGTCGACTAGGTGCTAGTTTTGGACCCCCACCCCCTGCCCACTTCCCGGAATAGCCCCACCTAGCTAACCGCTCCCTGTCCTGTTCTGCACGCCGTTCTACCCTGAAACCCTTGGTCTCCCCCGCGCGCCACCCCCCCACCCCGCCGGACTTTCCAGTAGCGTAAGTTCCTTCCTTGACTTTCTGCTGAGAAGGGAGTGGGAGAAAAAATTTCCACTTAACGGATGAGACCTGAGTTGCCAAACCCTAGGGTCTTTCCTTTCCAGTCTACCTGGCAATGACAGGCAGTCCGCCGGGCTGCCCATGCTCTCCTGCCCTCTAGTGGTCACCGGGAGCCTCACGGCACCTACCCGGGCTGGTTGGGACGTTGCCGCTGCGTGGGGAGAGGAGGTTGGAAGGCACTGCCTAAGTAGTGACTGAGAGAGGCTAGGAGGGGCAGCAATCCCAGCGAGACGGGTCAGTGACTTAGACCCAGAAGGGGAGGAACGCACTGTGCCATCGATGGAGAGGCTGGGAACTTATGGAGGGGAAGTTCTGGGGTGCGTGGGGTGGTGTCTGGAGGAAATGGTGCTATGCGGGTGGAGTTCTGAGGTATGTGGAAGTGTCGGCGAAGTACGTAGCAGAGCACATCGGAATGTGGGAGGTGGTGGGACAGGTTACGTATTAGGAGTGAGAGGGTTGGTAGGGCCACAGAATGGTATTGGGGGGGGCAATGAACTATCTTTCGGAGAGCAAGCGTAGTGGTATTTGGGACAGGCAGGCACGGTAGGGGTGGGGGCAAAACTATGTGAAAGTGCATAATTTAAAAAAAGGTTTATTGTATTTCTCATTTGAGAGAGCGGGGAAGGGAGAGAAACATGTATGTGAGAAAGACCAACCAGCCACCTCCTCGCGGCCCAACAGGGGGTGGAGCTAGCAACCTGGGCGTGTGCCCTCACCGGGAATGGAACTGGCGACTCTTCGGTTACGGGACAATGCTCCAACCAACTGACCCAGCCAGCCAGGACATGGGTCTGAAATGTTGGAGAACCGAGAGATATTTTGAGGGACAGAAATATTTGGGACCAGAGAAGTATATGGGGTCACAGCAGCACGTGGAGCTTAGGGTATCGGGCCCCATCCAGAGGTCCTGGGTTGCCGTATGGGCCGACAGAAGCAGTTACGTCCGCTTTAAGAAAACAGTTCCTGCCCTGGCTGGTGTAGCTCAGTGGATTGAGCCCGGGCTGCAAACCAAAGTGTCGCAGGTTCAATTCCCAGTCAGGGCACATGCCTGGGTTGCAGGCCACGGCCCCCAGCAACCGCACATTGATGTTTCTATCTCCCTCCCTTCCCTCTCTAAAAATAAATAAAATCTTAAAAAAAATAAAAAAGAAAGAAAACAATTCCTAACCCCGACAAATACAGATTGAAAGCTGAACTTTAAAAAACACTTCGGTGGGGCGAAGAGCCCGGGACCACAGCTCCTCGGCCTGCAGCTCCACCTTGTTGGTGCTGCTTTTTGTGGCGCCCGGCGGCGCCGGGCAGGGGGCGTGACGTCAGCTCGCGGGCCGAAGAGGCGGGGAAGCCCTGGACCGGCCAGCTAGAGAACACGGAGTAACTAGATGGGCGGTTTCAAAACTTCAACCCCCGCCGTTGCCAGGCAACAACCCTTTCGCTCAGTTGCTAGGATATGCACTACCATGGTTACGGCTACGCGCCAAGCAGTGGGAGTATTTAAAGAGCAAGCGCGCAGCCCGGGCGTCAGAAAGTGGCCTTCCGGGGTAGGGACGTTGCCCCTCCAGCTTTCCCCCCCTCTTCCGTACCATTCCTTTGACCCTCCACGCGCCAAGTCACTCTAGCCTCCCAGGTGAACTCAACTCCCCAGCGTACCCCGGTCTTTGGGATAATCTTGCTTCAAGCGGTGGGGAGCGGGATCCCGGGCCCCGGGCGGGCGGGAGGGACGGGACGTGGTGCAGTGTTGTTCTTTTCCCCGCCAATATTGCACTCGTCCCGGCCTCCGGCCCCTCCGGCCCCCCGGCGCCCCCACTCACCACGAGTGGGGAAGCCCCAGCTGTCCTGACTTTCGATCCCGGCAGATTTAAGATAGACTGGAGTGTCGCCGCTGCCATCGTGAGTAAGTGGGACTGGGAGGACTTTAACCACCCTCCGACCAGCCCTCTCATCCTTCACCTAACCCCCCCATCCTTTACCTAACCCTCATCCAGCACCTTCCTGTGCCCCAAACTCAGCCAAACTTTCTCTAGATCTCTAACTTCCAACCTACCAGCCCTCTCTCCCTTACCCGTCTCAGGTCCCTTCTTGCTCCCACTCTACCCCCAGAAAGTCCCTAAAATAAACAACTGCACTAGCTTAGAAAACAACTGGAACTTTATGGCAAGGTGCTGTTATCTTTCCTGGGGTTGGCGCCTGAGAAATACCCCTTGAAAACTTCCCATCTCCTCAACAGTCACCACCCTCTGAGGCTGAACTCCTGATTGGCACCAGGAGAGGGTATGTGTTTGGCTGAGGGGCTGTCGATTAGACCAGGGTGGGGGGCCTCCAGGATAGACCCCAAGGTCAGAGGGTCTAAAGTCAGGAATTTGAATCTGGTAGCCATTTCTTCACACTCTTCCCTGGAGCAGCTGCCTCCGGAATGGCTCGAAGTCCTCGGGAACTGTGTCTGAGGAAGGAGAAAGACTAAAGTCAAAGGCGTGGCTCTTCCCTGAGGGCGAGAGAGGTCAGGCTGGTGCGGGTGGGTTGAGAGCCTCACCATTGCATCGGTACTGGAGATTGGACCAAATGATGTTTTCTTGGGAGAAGCAGAATACACCAAGACGCCCCCCGCGCATGGATGTGTCAATGATCACCCCAGAATCCGCCACTAGCTGAGGACCCTCATAGAGCTTCACTCTGTCCAGGATAGGGATTCCATTGGTGCTAGGGTACCGATGGGCACTGTGCCACTATGCTGGGGCCCTGGTCATCCCCAACCCCCCTCAGCCTGAGAGAAGGAAAGAAGGAAAGGGGATGGAAGGGGGTGCTTTTCTCAGGCCTGGGGCCCCAGGCTCTTTGTCCAGCCCCCTTTGCATCTCAAAGCACCACAAAGCACCAGCCGCATTCCAGGCGAGGATTGGGTTGCCATGACGATGAGCACAATGGACTGGGGGTGAAGTCACCCGCTTCCCAGGCTTTAGTCCACCACCCCTTATATTCTGCCCTGGCGCCCCACAGCCCAGGCACCTTAAAGAGGAACCAACAACCCAAGTGCCTAGACTCTGGGCTCTGGGCCACTTCCCTTCCCTTCCCTGTCATCCCCACCAGCTAGGGAATGCAAAGTTGTGGACAAGTGCTGAACCGAGGCCTCAGCTCAGCTGCAGAGAGCTGTGAAGTTTAGGCTTTGGTGCGCATGGCAGTAAATAATGGCCCCTTCCAGGTCAGACGCCTTGAGGAGGAAGGTCCTGGGCTGTAGCAGTGAAGGGCCTGAGTTTGGAGGCTCCCAGGGGTGCCCTTATTTTAGAGAGGGGAAAGACGGAACACAGAAAAGGAAATGCCTGCCCAACAGTGCCTATCTGTCCTCTGCACCAGAGCCCAGGCCTCCTTGTCTGCGGTGAGAGGGGATGGAGAGAAGTGGTCCCGGTCCAGGCCCATGGCACCAAAGCACCAAGCAGAGGGGTCTCTGGTCAGTCCCAGCTACAGGGGAAGGAAAGACCGGGCCAGAACAAGATCCCTCAGGAGGGCTCGACCCCTCCCCTCACCGAATATAGCCAACTTGAGGCCGGTGCAGCAGCTGCCAGCGGTAGGAGGTCTTGTCACGCCAGCCCACATTCCGTGGGTCGGTCCACAGCAGTCGTACCTGATCAGGGGTATGGCCAGTATGCCACAGGGCATTCCGGAGGTGCTCACCTGGGCCAGACACTGATGTCACTGCCTGGGGGGCATTGACAAAGACAGTGGGTCAGCCACAGGTTGGTAAGTACAGGGTGGGGAAATAAGTTGAGGTGGTCAGGAGAATGTTCTGGAGCCCCAGGGAGCCAATCTCTAGGTCCAATGTCTGAGTAAGAGGGCTCCCACTCAGGTAGGGGGAGAGGTTTTGGGAAAGGGTCTGGATTGGGAAATCTGGGCAGCTGCGGGACCTTGAGCTGCAGCCCAGGCTGGGCAACAGCCCGGAAAGGCGTGGCCTGCCAGTAGGTCTGCTCTGTCTGCTTCCACATGACCACGTAGAAGCGGCCACTGTCCTGGTAGCTGAAGAGGAAGCCTGCATAGTCATCATCGGTTACTGTGTTCACATGGAAGGTTCCTTCAAAGTCCACACCATTGAAGGCTGTATATCCTAGGGGAAGATGGGCATATGGGATCAAGG